TGTTGCCGGGGGCCAAACAGGAAGATCTCCCTCAGGTTTTGTCCTCCTGCCCTCTCTGAGCTCAGGGCCAGGCCGAGGGGTAGGTAGAAGACGCGACCGACATGGGTTCTTCAGCATTGGGGGGCACAAAGGACAGGACCTGACACCTTTGCTGCTGGGTTGGTTGACAGTTCGTGGTCAGTAGAAGACCTCATGTTGTCTTGGAGGACAGAGATGGCCCACTGATGTTCACTTGGCCCAGTGAGCGGTCCATGGCCAACCTATGAGTACCGAGACCCTGGCTGGGATATTGGGGAGCTCGGTCTTCTAGACATCAATGGCTGGATGGTGACCCCCGGGGGGTACACATGACTTCTCTGCCTGCCTCTGGTCGAGAAGTCCAGTCTTTCCAGGCTGGTCCTACTGGACTTGATGGAGAGCGCCGCACGTGGGGGGTTGATGACTCTATACAGAGTATAGGATATCATGGGGACTGGGGGTAGAGTACGCTGGGGGATGGGAAAAAAATGGCCTCTACTCTGCTCCTCTGTCCACCCTGGGGGTGCTCCTTCCTCTGTCCACTGGAGGTGTTCCTCTGTCCACTGGAGGTGTTCCTCTGTCCCCTGGAGGTGTTCCTCTGTCCACTGGAGGTGTTCCTCTGTCCCCTGGAGGTGTTCCTCTGTCCCCTGGAGGTGTTCCTCTGTCCACTGGAGGTGTTCCTCTGTCAGGGTTCCTGCTCTGCTACTCTGTCCGTTGTGGGGGAACCACCCCCTTCTCTGCTCCTCTGTTCTATGTAGGAGGAGCATCTACCCTACTCCTCTGCCAACTCTAAGGGGCTCCACTCTGTTCCTCTGTCCCCCATGGGAGGGCTCCACTCTGCTCTTTTATCTGCTGTGGAGGGTTCTGCTCTGCTCCTCAATCCACCATGGGGGTCCATAACGTCCATCTATGGAGAAGCAGCATTTTCACCCTTGGGCAGGACTTCAGCACACAGCCCCCTCTCCTTACCTCCATGACAAAAGGTAGGAGGTGTTCTGTAGTCCATAGAGATGGCTGGGAACTGATAACAGTCAACAGAGGCAGAGAGCACCGGATGTTAGGAGCTCACTGGATTTCTGGTTGGGTCAACAGGGATGTTTGACACTTATCGAGCAGCTACAACAAAGCACTTTCAGTGGTAACATTTAACAGACCGAAAGGGACCAAATAAAAGAAGATCATCAATGGGGTGTACATACCCTTTAAAAGCTCCGCCCACCCTCAGTGTCGGCACAGAGCAAGGCACCACTGACCAGACTTTCCTTGTTGGCCTTTTTCTAGGACATCATGTGATGTGCTCTCCTACCTCTAAAGCTGATCCCCGGGTAGCCCTGCCCCTCCTCTAAGTAATTGCCTGAGATTGAACCAGGCACCCCAATCTTCTACCCTAACTCCATGGTCATGTGACACTATGGTTCCAGAAACTCCCTGGAAGGCCCCATCTTCTACCATAACTCCATGGTCATGTGACACTATGGTTCTCGAGACTTCTTGGAAGGCCCCATCTTCTACCCTATCTCCATGGTCATGTGACACTATGGTTCTCGAAATGCCCCATCTTCTACCCTAACTCCATGGTCATGTGACACTATGGTTCCCGAAACTTGCCAAACTGCCCCATCTTCTACCCTAACTCCATGGTCATGTGACACTATGGTTCTCGAAACGCCCCATCTTCTACCCTAACTCCATGGTCATGTGACACTATGGTTCTCGAAATGCCCCATCTTCTACCCTAACTCCATGGTCATGTGACACTATGGTTCTCGAAAAGCCCCATCTTCCACCCTAACTCCATGGTCATGTGACACTATGGTTCTCAAAACGCCCCATCTTCTACTCTAACTCCATGGTCATGTGACACTATGGTTCTCGAAATGCCCCATCTTCTACCCTAACTCCATGGTCATGTGACACTATGGTTCTCGAAAAGCCCCATCTTCTACCCTAACTCCATGGTCATGTGACACTATGGTTCTCAAAACGCCCCATCTTCTACTCTAACTCCATGGTCATGTGACACTATGGTTCTCGAAATGCCCCATCTTCTACCCTAACTCCATGGTCATGTGACACTATGGTTCTCGAAACGCCCCATCTTCTACCCTAACTCCATGGTCATATGACACGCTGGTTCCCGAAAAACTTCTCCTTCATCCAAAGCTGATCTCCGAACAAGCCTCAACCCTCCTCGCCCAATGCGAACGGGTGGTTGTAGACCTCTCTTTTCTCCCCAGCTTTGACATTTCTTTTACTTCTGAAGCCCCCCCCGAGGAACTGTAGAAGGTTTAGGGTGAGAAGCTTAGTTTCCAAATATGGTGGCGACTTTGATGGATAAGCGGCAAAGAAAGGGTTAATACTGGTAAAGAAGAAAAGCAAGGAAAGGGTTAATAGTGTGGATAAAGAGGGGGGGGGGTCACTGATATGGAGAACGCATCACATGATGGCCTTGAAGAAGTCTATTATGGAACCGTGTCGGGGATGGGGAGTGTGATGCCGGACTGGGCGGAGTTTTTGGATGTTTTTTAAAAAGTTATTTTACACGAAGGGAAGATTTTTGTTGTATGCTTGAGGAGAGCCGGAGATCCGTGTGCGCCGGGGCCCCCCGGAAAGCTCTGCGGGAGCCGAGAACTCACAGAGGAGCAGTGCGGGACAGAGAAGCCGTAGCCTCCAGGGTTGGTAAGATCACATGCTTGGGGGGTTGATCTTCCAAAAATCTAATGAGCTCCTAAATTCCGGCAGTGGACTCCTGCACTGAAATCAAAAGAAGTGTTGTCAGCCCAGCCCAGCTCTCCTACCCCAGACTACAGAACTCTTCCCGCTATGTTATGGAGATGAGAAAAGGGAAAGGGTTCTGTAGAAGGCCAAACCAGGAGACCGCCTGGAGAAGATTCAGCTGGATGAGAGGAGGAACCGAGGTTTCTCCAGGTCACACATTAGTCCTAGGGAAAGATGAAAATGAAGCTCTGCATATGGATCCCCGATATATATTGAGAGAAGTCCTTCTAAAGCCAAGCGGCTTGAGTTCAGTAGATCTCCACAAAACAGAGGCCACTCTCGGAAAACAGAGGTCAACCAATCTGAGAAGTCCATATGCATTTCAACCGATGAGGGGCCAAACAAAAGCTCCTAAAGTCCGCACAAGGCCAAAATACCTCCTAAGGACTCTTGTGTGGTGCCGTCTTTGGTTGAAATGCACAAATTAGTCTTGGGCCTTAACTCCAGGGAGATAGACCTCGGCCTTTACCATTGGGGTACACTCATGGGGGACTCCTACAGATCTAGCAGGACAGCTCCAAGCAATGGATGAGTAGACCAATGCGTAACTCCAAAACCTCATGCAACAGGTTGACATTCCTGAGTGAGTGTCCTGAATTCTACGGGAGAGTCACCACATTTGTGATGATGTAGCAAGCCACCCGTGTCCCTCAAGATGTCTCTACAAACTGGAACATAAGTTCCCTTCAAGTTCCATCAAAGAGTTTTAGTGATATTGACACACCAGGGGGGGGGGAATTGAGTATTATGCGGTGACATTGGGAAGGCTCGGGTCTGAGGAACCCAATAGGTAAAGCCTTGAAGATGGTGACCGGGTAATAATCACACTCAGTGCTGTTCTACCATGAGGAGAGGTGTGAGGAATTGGCTTGTGTTTGGTAGATCTCCACAAAACAAAGGCCCCTCACGAAAAAGAGTCACTTGATTTGAGAAGTCCATATGCATTTCAACCGAAGAGGGGACCACACATGAGCTCTTGGAGTCCACGCACTGTGCTGCCATGAGGAGAGGGGTGAGGAATGAGGACACATCAGCTGGAGAGCATAGGAAGGTGCAAGACAATGCTTTGTGTGGACATGCAGCTCAACACCAACGTCCTGCTGTCCACCATGAGCTCTTGGGAGTCCACGCAAGGCCACCTTGTGTTTTCTCCAGTGGTCATTGAGTAAAATGCCTCTTAAGGACTTTTGTTTGGGGCCCTTTTTGGTTGAAGTGAACAAATTAGTCTTAGGCCTTATCTCCAGAGATAGACCTCGGCCTTTACCATTGGGGAACACTCATGGGGGACTCTTCCAGATCTAGCAGGACAGCCCCAAGCAATGGATGAGTAGACACCAAGGTAACTTCAAGCCTTCATTTCTTCATGTCCTGAATTCTACGGGAGAGTCACCACATTTGTAATGATACACCAAGCCACCCATGTTTCAGAAGATGTCTCTGCAAACCGGAATACTAGTTCCTTCAAGTTCCTTGACATTGATACACCGGGGGGAAAGAGTAGAGTATTATGTGGAGCCATTTGGAAGGCTCGGGTCTGAGGAACCCAATCGGTATGCCTGGTAAATGTTGACCAGGTGATAATCATGTGCTGTGATACCATGAGGAGAGGGGTGAGGAGTTGGCTTGTGTTTGGTAGATCTCCACAAAACAAAGGCCCCTCTCGAAAAACAGTCACCTGATTCGAGAAGTCCATATGCATTTCAACCGAAGAGGGGACCACACATGAGCCCTTGGAGTCCACTGCCATGAGGAGAGGGGTGGGGAATGAGGACACACCAGGTGGAGAGCATAGGAGGGTGCAAGACAATGCTTTGTGTGGACATGCAGCTCAACGCCAACGTCCTGCTGTCCACACCTGGCATCATCACTATCACATTATTCTGATATAATATCCGATGAGCTATCTTCTGCTCTGCTGAAAAACATTTCTACTACAGGTTCCGAAATGCAAAGAAGTCAAGACGACATCTGGTAAATGTTGAACGTCCAGCAGTCATCCCCGTGTGCCGTTTCCACCTCACTTCCTGATACCTGAGGGAAACACCACCAAGAACATTCCTGGGGTCACCGATGAGATCGCCGAGCTGCTGACGGGAGAGGTGAGCGGTGCCGGGGATTCTGGGACATGATCCAGGAACAGACAAGGGGCGTGTCTGGGTGGTGACGGGAGAGGTGAGCGGTGCCGGGGATTCTGGGACATGATCCAGGAACAGACAAGGGGCGTGTCTGGGTGGTGACGGGAGAGGTGAGCGGTGCCGGGGATTCTGGGACATGATCCAGGAACAGACAAGGGGATTGATGGACAATCATGAATTGTCGTGTTATGCTCTTATGATGAGTTGTCATTATAACATTGTTCTCATTATATCTTCAGAGCGGAAGCCCGAGTGGTCTTATTGTTGTTGTCAAACAAGAGATAAAAGAGGAAGAAGATAAGGTTGGCGTGATGGACAAGTTTATAGAAGGACACGAGGATCTCAACCAGAGCGTCGTGACGACACCATCCTTGGACAGAAATTCTCCAGGGAGTTGTCCCAGTCCTCGTTCCTCGGATTGTACACCGGAAGATCACAACTACACACATCATGATCAGGTAGATTGTGAAATGCGCCTCAGATCTCTCTGTGGTGTCACTTTCAACATCACCTAAATTTTAAATCTTATTTCCTGTAATTTTATGGGCTTAGAATGAGAAACCCCTGGACATAAAGGTTGAGGTGAAAGAGGAAGAGGAGGAGACGGATGTGAGAAATGATCAGCAGTCTATGGAGGAGGATGGAATTAAAGTGATCGTTAAAGAGGAGGAATCTTCCCCGGAGATCAACTCAGGTGATGGAGATACTGTACACCATATGAAGGTCCATCTCCATTCCTCAATATAACGTCATGTGACCAACAAATGAGGAGGAGACACTGGACAGCATATGAAGGTCCATCTCCATTCCCCAATATAACGTCATGTGACCAACAAATGAGGAGGAGATACTGTACACCATATGAAGGTCCATCTCCATTCCTCAATATAACGTCATGTGACCAACAATCTGTCTCTAATAGACTCCTGTGTGTATATTATAATAATAAATAATTTCTTTCCAGCAGATGGACACGATGCCCATGACCGTCCTCACACGGAGGAGCATCCATTTTCCTGTCCAGAGTGTGGGAAATGTTTTGCCTCTGGAGCAGATCTTGATAGACATCAAAGACGTCACAGTGAAGTGTGTCCCTATACATGTGCGGTGTGCGGGAAATGTTTCCAGAAGAGGCCGCAGTTTACCAGACACATGAGGAATCACACAGACGAGAGGCCTCATTCGTGCTCGGAGTGCGGTCGGTGTTTTAAATTGAAGAGTCACCTGATGGCACATTTCAGACTTCACACCGGGGACACCCCTTTCTCATGTGTACATTGCGGAAAAGCTTTCACGTCCAGATCGCGGCTTTTCAGACATCAAATGTATCACATCGGGGTGCGCCCCTATTCATGTTCGGAGTGCGGGAAGGCTTTCACCGAGAAGTTCATGCTCGTCCATCATATGAGAGTTCACACCGGTGAGAGGCCCTATCCGTGCCCGGAGTGTGGTCAACGTTTTAAAGACAAAAGTGTTCTGAAGGGACATCTCAGGGTTCACACTGGAGAGACTCCCTTCCCATGTCCTGTGTGCGGGAAATGTTTCACTCGGAAAGATATTCTCACCATACACCAGCGGAGTCACTTGGAGAAACTGCCGTACACGTGCGAAGAGTGCGGGAAAGGTTTTACATGGAAGAGTACCTTCATCAGTCACCAGAAAACACACACTGGCGAGCAGCCCTTTTCCTGTTCAGAATGCGGCAAACGGTTCAGCCAAAGATCTTCTCTTGCACAGCATCGGAAACTGCACTCAGATGAAGGCTTGTTGTCATGTTCAGAGTGCGGGAAATCCTTTGAGACAAAGTATGAGCTTGGCGTCCATCGGAGAGGCCACACAGGTCAGGAGATCTTTTCATGCACGGAGTGCGAGAGGTGTTTTTTGCAGAAAGGACACCTCCTTATCCACCAGAGAAGTCACACGGGTGAGCGCCCTTATACTTGTCCAGATTGTGGCAAATCTTTCTCCCGGAAAGGAAACCTCCTTACGCACCAGAGGATTCACACAGGTGAGCGTCCGTTTTCCTGTTCGGAGTGTGGGAAAAGTTTCCCCCAGAAAGGATATCTCATCCAACACCAGAAAAGTCACGAGGGCGACCGTCCTTTCTCCTGCTTGGAGTGCGTGAAGTCCTTCAAAACAAAATCAGAACTCCTCCTCCACCAAAGAGGTCACACCGGCGAGCAGGTCTTCTCCTGCCTGGAGTGCGAAAAGTCCTTCCTGAAGAAATGGCAGCTCGTTGAACACCAGAGGGTTCACACCGGCGAGAAGCCCTTTTCCTGCTCCGAGTGCGGAAGGAATTTTTCGCACAAAGCCAGCCTGAAAACCCACCAGAAGCTCCACACCGGGGAGAAGCCGTATTCCTGTTCCGAGTGCGGGAAATGTTTCCACCAGAAGGGACATTTGACTAAGCACTATAAAACCCACGGGCGCTCGGAGCGGTGAAAAACGTCCGGTAGACTTTGCTGAGACGGAGTTTTGTTTTCGTAGCACAATTGGTGGCGAAAGATCTGAAGTTCAAAGGCTCGGCCTTCAAAAACCGATCTCATCTCCCGAGTTTCTTTAAGCAGCTCGTAAAGTGGTCAAACTCCCGGCATCCCATGAAAACTGTGATGTCAACGCTGGGTCTGCCGGCCTTCAGATATTTATAGTTCTGGTTCTAATTTTCAGACTTAAAATGTGACTGAGAGGCGTGTGTGTAGTTTTTCCACTGTGGAATATGTCTGGCCTCATCTACGGGTGGGAAGACAACCCTTCCCGAACCATCGTACAATCCAAGAGATGGGGGAGACGTGAAAGGACATTGATGTATTATGATGGGGCTCAGAGGCTTCACTTTCACTTTCCAAAGACGCAGACAGTCCTGTAGGGCCCATGAGTACCTGATTATAGGCTAATGTTCCTCTTCAGTGGAGAACTGACCTGTTTTAGGGATATCGGAGGTTGTTATAAAGGGCCATCAAATGATCTGACAGCTGTAGAGCCGTGGGGGGAAATCTAAGCAAGGCCTACCTTTGATAGTTCTGTTCAGTGGAGATCTTATATGTGTTGGGGATATCAGTAGTTGGTATAAAGGGCCATCAAATTATCTAATATCTGCAGATCTC